TCTAACTCTCTATGCTAGCCGGCTACTTCCTAGCATATCAGTCCTGCTTCTTCTTCATCAGGTCAGTTCTCATGGTTATGTACTTCCCTTCTTCTTTCTTCCTCTTCTCTCTACCTGAAACACCCAGACTGGAAATGAAGTCCCACCTTCCCAATCATTGGCACATACACTTCTTTATTCACTTCTTTATTAACCAAGCAGAGATAATTGGGGAGTAATGTTTACACAACATTGAGACAGAAGATTTCTTCATAGAAATGGCAATGCTCATGTCAAAACTTTAAACCAGAAATCAGCACAGAAATCAGCATCTGAATGCATGGTGCACAAGACCATCCTCCAACAAGAGGATGTAAGAGTCTATGCAAGCACTGATGTTTCAGTGAAACCAGAAAGGGCAAAGTGTCTGTGTTTTACTACACTATGGTGAAATTGTTTTGATGAGCTTCTGCTATCATATTTTTATGGTTTCTGACTCCCAATGCCTATCTTTTCTTAAATTGTGCCCTAGCAGGATGGTGTATGTACCTGACCTTTCTTCAGTATTTGCTTTTGGCCTACTGCTATGTGCAACACTCGGTAGCCATGTTAACAGATTAGATTATAGAGACAAAATTGGTTTTTAAGTCAGGCAGATCTTGGGCAAGTCTCAACCTTTCAGAAGTTAATGTCCACTTCTTTTTCAAGCCCAGGTGACAGTCCTAACCCTAAGGAATGATTGTGTTTCTGTTTTGCGGTGTTGAGGATTAAACCCAAAGTCCCATTCATGCAAGGCAATCACTCTATTCAGCTTCCACGAGTGTGAAACACTTGAGTAGTGCCTGTTCCTTCACAAGACTCCTCTTACCTCAGCTGATTTCTTGCTGAACTAGTGCCTTGTATAATGTGGAATCAGACTAGACCTTCTACAGCATCTGAAGTTACTGCAGGAGATGATCATGCTGCTCAAACAGACTTCAAACAGGCCTTCTCTGGATCTTTGTGGCCTTAACTGCCATAGTGGAATGGAATGGCAGCTCTCTTTTAGAGCAACAGGAAAAGTACTTGACCCCATTATGATATATAATGTCAAGGCCGTCACTTTTGTCTTCTCTTTCAAACATGATATCCTGAACCTTTTAGAGTTTGATGGCAGCCTGAATCCAGCCACTATCACTTGCTAAGGGACCTTAGAGCAAGCTGCTTAACTTTTCTGTATCCTAGCCTCCTTGTTTGCAAAATACAGGTAATAAATGTTATAGAGTGAATAATGTGCTTCTCCAAAGCTTGTGTACTGAAATTCTAACACTATCCCTGTATGGTATTTAGAGGCCTTTGGAAGGCACTAGGTCATCAGGGCACAGCCCTTATGAATGGGATCAGTGTCCTTATGAAAAAGGCCCCAAACAGCTACTTTGTCCTTTCTTTCACAAGAAGACAATAAAAGGATGGAGTCTGTGAACTTGGAAAAGCTTTCCTCCCAGACACTCAATGAGCTGGTTTCTTGTTCTTACATTCCTTAGTCACCAAAATGGAGAATTTTTAACTTTGTAGTCTTTGTTATAGTCTAGGACATAGTAGTACATACTTGGGGGTTGGGAAGAGTCTGAGGGTTAAATGAAGTAACACATGTGGATCTCTTAATAGTGTCTGGTGGCACTTGCAGACTCTTTTAGCTACTATTGATATCTGCTAAACTGCCTTGATAGCCATCCTATGAAATGAAATTGAACATATGTATTCCTTTCTCTGATGTTGGATATTTACGGTATTTCCCATTTTTAAACATAAACTAAAAATATTACTTACAAAATTAGTCATTTTGGGCATGATGTAATTCCAGTACTCAAGAGGCTAAGGTAGAGAACTGTCATGAATTGGCTAAACTGGACTACATATTGTGTTCCAGGCCTGCCCAGATGGCAGAGTGAAACCCTGTTTCAGAAAACATACTAAAACAAAGTCATCTTGTAGTTTGTGTTTTAGAGATAAAGCAAAACACTGAATTCAAAACTTTGGGCTGGTAAGATGGCTCAGATGAGAAAGGTAATCACTGCCATACCCAGCACCTGCATTCAATATATCCATGAAATATAAGGGGAGAACCAGCTTCCCCCAAATTTCTTCTGATCTCTACATGTGAATCAAGGCGTGCTTGTGGTCATGTGTGCATACACACAAACACAGACAAGATAAATTTTAAGAAAAGTAATAAAAAGAATTAATGTTAAATGGAGTAATAATAGTATGTTAAAGTTATCTTATAGGCCTTGATTGGTGGTTATATCTGCGATTCTAGCACTTGGGAGGTTGAGGCCACTCTAAGCTAAAAACGGAGACTTTTTAAAAAATATCTTAAAAAATTCAACATTCTTAGATATATTTCTGGCTAATTGTTCTACCTGAGAAGCCCTGCATGAAACGTCCTTGTCCAAGACACAGCAGGGCTGGATCACTCTGCAAGGTCTTCTAGGCCTTTGCTCTAGGATTCTCCTAGCAAAAAAAAAAAAAAAAAAAAAAAAAAGCCAAATCAGCTTTTCTCCTCTAGTGGCAGAGAATCTCTGATACAGCACAGCTCAGTGCCAACCCAGCAGTTTTTAGATACCATTTGGAAATATCCAGTAGAGCAAATGTCAAGCCATTCCACCTGATCTGGAGTTTATGGGTCAGAGGTTCCTGCTATAGTCTTTTAGCTAACACAATTCAGAGTAAGCAATAGCAATTGACATGTGAAGTGACATACACAGAGTTCAATTTGTGTCAGGCTCTAAAGTTCTGTTTGATCTGTTCAAGGAATTAATGGCCTGGCCTCATTTTATAGACAAGGAAACTGAGGTTTAGAGAGGGTAAATTTCCTCCAAGGAAACTTGATCCAGGGCTGTGGCTTTAAAGACACAAGCTTTCCCTATGAGCACAACAGGATCTCTTTCAGTTTAATCAGCATGTATTAGTGCTCACTGCTAGGCACTGGAACAGAGAGCCTGATGAAATAGACAGGCAGGGTTTTAATCACAAGTTCTAGTCTGAAGGTTGATGAGTGCTCAGGAGAAGCAATTAAATCATGTGGGTGGTTCATTTTATTTGTGGTATTTATGTCTAAAAGCCATCATTAATCCTTTTAGGAAGAGGAAGGGGTTGAAAGATCAGTGCTATAAACAAAGACCAGTAGGGAAATAGGGAAGGATGAACTCCCACTCAGAAATCCAAGTCTCCTAGAGGATGTGGCATTTTGGTTGGGGTTGAGGAACCAAAAGGGGAGGGGCATGCCATGTTCATTCCCTTCCTAAAGACAAGTAAAAATAGAACCTTGGTCAATATGCTTACTAAATATTGGTCTTAAGAACTGTTACATGGCCCTCTCATCTGCCCCCCACCCCTTTCTTAAATAGGTAGGCCTACTTAAGAAAGATACACAAGAGACAACCTCATAATGAAAAACAGAAAATTCACACAAAACACACAGGTACACATTAATTAATATATTAAATATATCATATGAAAATACACACAACTTCTTATATTTGCAGATTCACAGATACATACAATCTTCACAGAGAGACTTACAAGCGTGTTTATGCTTTCATACACAAGCTCCAACATATCCTCTCCCCACCCACTACTCACCCAGGCAAATAAATGCATGCTTTCGTTAACACACTCAAGTTCACACACAAATCTCATCCTGCTTGTCTGGTTAGAGTCGAATGACTAATGGGAAACCATGCACAAAGGCAAATATCCTAGGAGAGGCCAGGACTGGGTTTACAGTGAAGCTGGTGGGATGGAATTAAGCCATCAGATGACAAACTTGTCTAGCCAGGCAGCAGTTGCTCAGCTGAGGCTACAGAGTTGGACACTGCACTGGATCCTGGGTGATGGTGCAAGCTTGCTTGCCTGATTTCCAGCTTCCGCCAAAGTTTAAGGTCATTCAGGGTCAAGCTCTGCTATCAGCCCACTCCCTGTACTGGCAACAGGCAGGAATCTCTGGGGATACAGAGAGTGCGGGCTGCTTTCCAACCTTAGGCTTGTCCTGACATAGTGCAATCCCAAGTGGTTAGCATTAATGACGGTTTACAACGGTGGGCCAAACACTGGGTTAATCCCTTCATGTACATGATTTCATTCTTACAACAGCTCTGTGAGGGGGTGGGGTGTGCCCAATCATCTCACCATTTAAGTGGCTGAGAAAACTGCCTGAGACACAAAACCACTCAGCAAGGGAGACAAGGAGCTGAAATTCAACCTCGTCTTATTCTATTCTTCCCTAGGTTTGGGTCGTAAAGCGTGCAAACGAGTTTGTCCCCAACGCCAGAAGCTTGCTTATTGTGCTCACGATGGGACTCCAGGCCGCCCCATCCGGCTTAGCCCAAGGGCAGGCCCTTGGCAGGTGCTTGCTGAGGGCACTGGGGTTGGTTTGCGGAAGTTGTCAGCAAGAGCTTCAGTTTCCCCATCTCTGAAATGGATAACAGCGCTGACCCCGCAGGGCCAAGGCCAGGCTGTCTTGAGCAGAAGTAGTGCGGAGCTCCATCTACATCACCGCTGCCACCTTCTGTGACCATCCCAGGGATGCAGCCTAGTCCCCGCCCGAGCCCGGGGTGCGGCTCCAGAGTCCTCATTGTTCAGAAGGGCGGAGACACTGCCCACTGGGGATCCCCGCCTCGGGTCCAGCTCCCAGCCCAGTGGAACAGATGACTTGGCCCAGCGTCTATCGCGCGGGCCGCGTCCTTTGTCTGCTCGATGGCGCCGGCTGCCCGAGGCCCGCGCCCGGCTCTGTGGGTAGACAAAGCCGGGGCCGACGCCGCAAACCCTACCGGCACCAACGCGGCTCGGGCCTCCTGATGTTCCGCCTTCTTCCTTCTGAGACCTCTGATTGGCCCGCGCCATTACAAAGAGGCCGGGAAGCGGGCGGGTCACGTGGGTAAGTATGGCTTTCTATTGGTCAGGCTCGGCTGCCTATCAAAGAGGGCGGGCAGTGCGCGCTCCGCCGGGTTGCTCCCTCTGTGCCGAGGCCCGCCCGCGGGGCCGGCCGCCTGTCAGAGGGAGGTGACGATGGAGCGCCCGGTGGTGGCAGCGGCGGCGACGGCTTCCTTGGTCGGACGGCAGGGAGAAGATGACTGACCGACCGACTAGATGAATGAATGAATGGCGGAGCCGAGCGCGCCATGAGGAGCCTGCCAAGCCTGGGCGGCCTCGCCCTGTTGTGCTGCGCGGCCGCGGCAGCCGCTTCAACAGCCCCGGCGGGGAATGTCACTGGTGGCGGCGGGGCCGAGGGGCAGGTGGTCGCGTCGCCCAACCCCGGGCTGCGGGACCAAGCCAGCCACCCCTTCCCTAAGGCCGAGGCTCCCACGGCGCAGGCCCCGCGGACCGGCCCCCCGCGCACCACGATCCTCAGAACTGGGGCTGCGACCCCGTCGACCGGCTACCTGGAGACCACTCCGTTCCGCACCACCGCAGGACCGGCTGCCACCCCCTTCCCGGTCCTCAGCCCCTCACCCGCCACCCCTTCGGAGGAAGGACGCACTCACGCCACCGAATCACCGCCCTCCAGACCCGCGCCCACCACCCTTGCGAGCACAGCTGGCCAGGCGCCGACCACCTCTGTAGTCACCACCGCTCAGGCTCCCAGCACTCCCGGGACCACGGCCGCCGAGTCTCAGGACAGTAGCAGCAGCAGCAACAGCGTCCCGCCCACCGCACCTGCCACCGAAGCCCCTGCTCCGCCTACCCCAGGTGAGTCCCTGTCCTGGCCTTCTGGACCTTCCCCAGCCACTGCCCATCTTCACCCCAACCTCTGTCACCCCGTCCCTGTTGCTTCTTGTCCTAGAGGCTCCCAAGGGGAGAAACAAGCTCCAGCTAGACTAAACCCCCAATGCCTCCAAAAAAGTCTTTTGTCCCCCCACCCAGGGCTGTATTCCATCCAGAGGGAGCAGCTGCTTTATGGAGAGCTTAGCATCTCTTCCTAAAACAAGGGTTTTCTGGCCTTTGTCAGAGTCCCAGAATGGACTCAAACTTTTGTATTGGATCCACCCAGAAGGCCACCCCGCCTAGGTTAGGGAAAGTTTGAAAGCTGGAAAGGTGCTTTATCAACACACAGGTAAAAACCTGAAGGGATTTCTCCAAAGCTCCAGTTTCCTTGTTTGTTTCTTTTTGTTGATGTAGGTAATAGATGCTCGTGTGTGTGTGTGTGTGTGTGTGTGTGTGTGTGTGTGTGTGTGGTTAGAAAAGATATAGAGTGGATTTTGCTTACAAACAGGCCACTTCAGGCCTGAAATTAAAAATAAAAATGGCATTGTAATCCATGTTTTCTCTGCAAATAAGTAGATTTGGTAAGTCATTTGGGACAGGTGTGTATCTAGGTTGAGCACGTTATAAATTAGGTTAAATCCTTTCTTGTATTACTTCATTCTGTCTCAATTCCAAGGTCAGTTCTTGGGAAAATGCCATTTAAGCAGGGATGCCCATTCCCCCCCCCCCCCGCCTTTTTTAAAACTAGGATGTTCCTTACTGCTGATGTTGACATACCAATTTCTGTTTGACCTCACAATAGGAAATATAGCTCTTCTGCTAGTGAAAGGCTTCAAGCAAAGTTAAGGGACAACTGCTATTCTTTCACCACTTTGTATCTGAAGTGGGCCAGAAACGCAACCAATAAGGCCCACCTCTTTAAGAAATTCGGCAAGTTTCTGAGATCTTCTGCTTATCCTTGGGGTGGAGATTTTGCCCAAAACACTTGTCTAGCTTGATCTGATCATTGACCTACTTCTTAGGCTCAATGGTTTTACTGTGGAGTCAGGTATGGATTTTGGACTATAATTGAGTTGGTAGAGGATTTTCCCAGATGGTTAACTCTTGAGTCGTATGTTGGAGCTTGTCAAAGGCATAAGTAGGAACGATTATAAAAGTAGATTATTCACCCCAGAAAAGCCACATTTGGATCTCTTTTAGTTTCGAGGAATGTATTAAGAAGGCATTTTTTTTTTTTTAAATCTGAGATGCTTTTTAGCGTTTATAGAGATTGACATATTACTAAAGTTAGCTTAGTATTTAAGTGTAGAGTCTGGGGTTCATATTTAGGTTTGAATTCCAACTTATTGCCCTCTTTGGTCTATGTAAGTAGGGACAGGTCACTTAAGCCTTGTGGTCTCACTTTCTTCAACCTCGAGCTGAAGGTTATCATAGTCCTTTTAGGTTTGCTCTGTAAATTATGTAAGTTGAACTGAGTGTGTATACTGATGTACTGAGGAAGCAAAGACAAGAGGATCAGGGGTACAAAGCCAGCCTTGACTACATACTACATTTAAGGCAACCTGGACTATCAAGAAAGAAAGAAAAAAAAAATAGTGGAGAGAGGAAAGAAAAAAAAATCACCAAGTTAATGCATACCCAACTAGTGCTTAGAACAGGTCCTGGTGCTTGATAAGCACCACATGTGTGTTGTGTTTCATTTATGACCAGCTCTTTTTTTTTTTCTGGTTAGAAAAATATTTGAGAAGCCAAGTGGGGATTTGTGATTTTTATACTTTGCTTTAGTAAATAGAAAAAGGGTAAGTTAGAATTTCTGGAGTTTTAAGTACATGACATTTAAGTAGCAGTTGCTTACTTTTGTTAGTGTCTGATAAATACACAGTTGATATCACTTCACTTTTGTCATTTTAAAAACACAAAGATATGATAGGCCATGGGGGGTTTCCCCTTCTCTGAAAAGAAAGGGAGGGGGCCATAGGGAGAAGTGAGGTGAGAGGAAGGGACTGGGAGGAGAAGAGGGAGGAGAACCTCCAATCAGGATATTAATTAATTATTTAAAACAATTCTTATTGTCAAAGAGATAATCAGAGGCCTACAAGAAAAAGGTAAAAGTTACTCCTTCATGCTAATTCTAGTTCCTAAAGCTTACTCCTCTTAGCGGTTATATCTTTTAAAAAATTTTGTCTGGACATACATCAACAAAAAATATTTTAAAAATAATTTTTAGGGCTCAGGGGTAGAGGCTTGTTTCATGTGAAAAGTCTCTGCCACCATCAAAACTTAATTAGTAGTTGATAATATTAAAATAGAATTGTTCTATACATATTATTTCATATTGGTGTATTCACTTAACTGTGAAAAACTGGATTATTTTTCATGTCAGTACCTATGATTTACCTTACTTCTTCCAATAGTTGTATTTTTCATTGTAAATATGCACAGCAAAAGCAGACTTGTTTAACCAGTTCCTTATTAATTCATTTAACCAGTTCCTAATTTATACACTCATAGATTGTTTTGAAAAGCACAGAAAAGAATGTATTCTTGTTAAATCCATGATTTATTATATTCTCTGATAGTTTGATACCCAATCAGTACTTAGAATTCAAATAAATTTTAAGTGAAGCAAAGCTGGGTTGATGTATTTACCATTTGAACTGTTTTTAGTATTTTCCATAATTTAACATCTGTATGGCTGTCTTTCTGTAGCATACACTTTAGGATATCAAACTGAGGTCATTTACCTTTGCCTAAATAGTGTATAATTTATACTCTTCTATGAATTCTTCTATTGTGTACGTTTATTTCTCAATGGCTTGACTAACTTTGTGACCTACCTGTAGGCAATTTTAGCCTTATAGTGATATAATCAAGTTGGCCTTTTAAATTGTAGCATGGGCTCCATTCTATTTCCGATAGTAAACATAGCTTGTCAAAAGAGGAAAACTTCCATATGATTTATTTTTATTTTTAAAGTTTTTTTTTTCATTTTTATTATTAGTTACATTTTATTTACTCTGTATCTCAGCTATACCCTACTCCCTCATTCCCTCCCAATCTAACCCTCCCTCCCTTATCTCCTCCCTGCCCCTTTCCAAGTCCATTGATTGGGGAGGACCTCCTCCCCTTTCATCTGACCCTGTTTTATCGGGTATCTTCAGGACTGGCTGCAAAGTCCTCCTCTGTGGCCTAGCAGGACTGCTCCTCCCTTGGGGGGTGGGGAGGTCAAAGAGCCTGCCATTGAGTTCCTGTCAGAAATAGTCCTTGTTCCCCTCACTATGGGAAACCAGTTGGTTACTGAGCTACCATGGGCTTCATCCGAGCAGAGGTTCTAGGTTATATCCATATGTTATGTTGTTGACTAATTGAATATATCAAGGTATCAAAGTATCCTAACTTATATATGTAAAAAATATGTATTGGATAAATTTTCTTTTATCTGAACTTAGAAGCTTTTATGATTTTCTAAAATGTAATTTGAAACATTTGCCAAGCTCCTAGGTTATGTTAAACTCACATGGATAAATCTCAAATTGTACTCCACCCAGGTTGTTCACATGACTTGCAGGTTGTTTCTACAGACCAAGTCTAAGGACAAGTCTGGGCAGGTTATTAATAACTCACTGGAAATATGAAATTCCTAGATGGTAAAACATTTTGGAAGGGAAGGGATAGTAGTTTAGATTAGTTCTCACAGGTCTTTTTCAGCTTTTAAGTTCTGTGATGATTAGATGTGCATGACTCAATGTACGTTTACACCGCATAAGGAGTCTTAATTATTTACTTATGATCCAGACTACAAGAGTAGACTCTAAGCAAGGCACAACATCCAGTTTGAAATCTCTAACTACTATAACATATGAATGCAGTGTTAAAAATGAATTCTATTTTATTTGCATGTTTTTGTTTAAGATAGGGTTTAGTTCTAGAGCTCAGTTTGGCCAGGAACTTGCTATGTAGCTCAGTCTGACCTCTAACTTGTCATCCTCTTGCTGTTACCTGCTACGTAGTTGGAGGTGCCACCATACCTATCACTTTAGAGTTTATTTGAAAAGAACATTTTAGAAACCCAGGATCCTCCTAGCTAAAATAGAAGATGCTTTCTTTAGCCTAACAGTCTGTACTGTTAAAGCCCTGAGTCTTACTTTGTGACTGCAGCATTTATGGAAATAAAAACTGAACATACTCCAATGATAATACAGGTTCAAAGTCTTTTGTCAAAAACCTTTTGTCTTTTGTTCAAAGTCTTTTGTATATATATTCGAGAACTTTTCAGATTTTAGGAAGTTGACCAGTACATCCTGGTGAAGATGGGAGAATATCTAGAATCAGATTTATGAAGATACCCATATCAACATGCACGCTCAGTGGGAGAAAGAGGCCTTGCATTTGATCAGGTCAGGCTTTGTTGTCATGCATATTTAGGGAAGGGCTTACAGGACAGACATCATGGTTCTTTACCTGTCTTGGAGTACATATAAGTACTTCGCTCCTTGCCTTAGATAAGGTTTCACTATGTTGTCCGGGCTGGTCTTGTATTCATGGGCTTAAGCCATCCTTCTGCCTCAGCCTAATTGAGTAACTGGAATTACAGAAACTCGTCATTGTGCCTGGTTCATAATAACTTTCTTCAGCATTTGTTGGGCCAAGGCCTTGCATCATCTGGCTAATACTTATAAACCTCACTCAAGCCCTAGCTTTGCTTGTTAGCATTTGGCAAAAGCAGGGTGAAACAAAATCCTAGCTCAACCCTTACAGGACAGAAGAGTCCTGTGGCCAATATTTCTCTGTGCCTGCCTGGGAAGGGGACTAGGTGATCCGAGACAGGCTCTTCTGTCTTGGGAGAGGGGCTCTAGGCCACTGATATCAAGAGTAGTTCAGAGCTGGGGGCTTCTCTATGACTACTGTTTAGAAGCATTATGGGTTACTTCTTGTCAGAGCAGTTTGGGTGCCAATACTAAACCCTATCCCTTCCCTATGCTAGT